TTAAACCATATGTTAGTCCCGAAATGAACTAGTTTGTGTCGAGTGGACGTTGAACCCCATCTCTCTCTCTCTCTGTTCCATCCCAGCTTCTAGATGCGTTTGCCTTGCCAAAAGACGGGCACACGCCATGCGGTGTGATAAGAAGAAACTTTTGAAGTGTTGTTTTATTATGAAGCACGGGTAATAAACAGATCAGGCTGTTGAGACTACTAGAAAAGAATAAAAATCAAGACTTTGTCTAATTGCTACGATAATGGAAATTAGATATATTGATTGGTTCGTCTGCCAAGCCCATAATCAACACACTGGATGAAAGTTACATTTAAATAATGAACTGGCCTTTCTAGCTATAATATGAAACATTTACAAATACAAAACAAGCAGTAGAAAAGAGAAGATGGAAAACGTCGTCTTATTGTTTCAACGAATTTCTAACACAAAGTTTTCGTTTATATTTGCTGGTTCCTAAAAAACAAAAGGCCAACAATATAAGAACTTTAAACATCCTTATATGATGTTGACGCCAAAGCTAAATGCTATTTCAATATCTTAAGATCTGTATTGGATGAATTCGCACCGGGGCAGACAAAGAATTTCAACGTGAGAATAAACTCTGCGAAGCGACTCTGCAAAGCGAAAACGTAATAAGGCTGAACGTGTTTGGCGCAAGTCTCAGCTCACAATTCACAAACCGATATATAAATAGCTAAAATCAAAAATGAACAATCTTAAAGGCGAAGTTAAGAGAGCTTACTATTCTAGCAACAATTCGCACAGGCATCCGTATTAGGGCCGATTATATCCAGTATATAAACTTCTCCCCTTGGTGTAATCGTTAGGAAATACGGCCTTCATTTCATCTATATGCTGCCGATTCACAGCTTTACATTTCCTTTAAACATCAGCAATATGAACACTTCTATATTTCAAAATCAATTTTGGAACGGTGTATATTAGAAATAAAGTGCTGGATGTGTTAAAACTTTCTCAAGCTCAATAACGATAAGACAGAATATTTGTTTATTGGATCGAATACAAATTTAGAGAAATTGGATAACAATTGAAGTTATAGCGCCAACTCTCCCTCTATGTTACCTCTGAACATTGGGGTGATATTTGATTTTTACCCGTCAATTAAGAGTCATATAACTCATGTGTGTAAATTAGGATATTTCAATTTGCGACATATTGGAAAGCTGAAACCTAATGTGTTTGCAGATTGTGTGAAAACTCTTGTAAATGCATTAATGACTTCTCGCACTGATAACCTGAACTCTTTATTATATGGTCGTATTCCTATTAAATATATCGAAGAACTACTACAAATACAAAATTATGTAGCTAGACTTATTAATGGTGCTTCTTTTAAAGAACATATAACCCCAATCCTTTTTAATTTACACTAGCACCCGGTTCAATCTAGAATAATCTGTACAACTCTATTGTTAAAGTAGACGTAAGATGGGCGAAAAAACTTTTCGGTGCGTTTAGCCAATGGTTACTATATCCACTTTACGGCAAGTTCACGCCAATCTGATTAAAATTAATTCGGTTATTAACGTTTAAGTATCCGACACGCTTTTCAATTTTTCAATTACGACCTTAATCTGGTTGATTGGCTGGTGACGTCACAGGTACTACACACAGTATATACATTATTTATACAATATATCACTGCCTGTACAATATATCACCGTCTATACCCACCACCAGTTGACAAGTGTCTATTGATGGTCCACTTAACATGTGGCTGGCCTAATCATAATCACCGAATTATCGTCTTGCATTGTTGTTGGGATATTTTAGAGTGAATATACTGATATCCCAAACTATTCTCTATAAGTACAGAAATACAAATGGTTTCAGGTTTTGTCGATATATTCATTATTAACTATATATATAATAATAATAACCATTTCTATACACAAAGAACAACTTTTATCGTAACTGCATTTGGAATTCAAAGTGAATATGTAATTTTCCGATGACTATGCATAGCAATAGATCCTTTTCATTTCTCAGGCAATCAACGCTGGGAATCTTATTACCATGTATCGTTCCATGCATAATACGGGCGTAATAATTGAGGTTAAATTTTGGCGCGAAAATCGCATGGAATTCATGGACATGAATATCAAATACATGTGATCATCGTGGAGTTCCTGATGCCATTTGGTGAGTGGTTAATCGTCAATGTAATTGTAAAATACCCTTTTTATAAAGAAAATTAAACGATGTTGGGCGTTATAACCTAATCTTATCACAAACGTTTATCTATCGAATAATTTATATTCAGATTTCATATCAAGTCAATTAAATGTTGTCTAAACGCCAATCAACAAATAATACGAGGCTACTTTCTTAAGAAAAAAACATGGGTGAACAAAGCTATTGGGTAAAAAATGGTTATAAGCAACTGATGAGTAAAACTTGATTATTCTATACAATTAATGTGTGTACGATTAGTGGTGTGGAGAAATGTTTGTAGCAAAGTTCCCCCGTAACTTGTTTCGTTCGTTCGTGGGGTATTGCGCAGGTTTTGATAAAGGATTAGGAGGTTACTACACTGTGGGTGTAGTAATATAGTCTGTTCTAATTAATTTGTATCACTGGTGTAAACTTCTCTCTCTAATTATTGTTACTGGTGAACAACCTCGTAGGTTTTCTCCGGGTCCTCCGGTTTCCTCCCACTGCTAAAGCCCCCTACGCGCAAGCGAATTATTGAAATAAAATTGAACCCTGTATTACTCCCGAAATGACCTAGTTTGTGTTGAGTGGACGTTAAACCCCATTTCTCTCTCTTTTGTTACTGGTGACCACTTCCCACTATCAGTAGATTGGGCAAATTGGTGAAATCAGTTTACAAAAAAATTGATTCCCAAGACACCCATTGAATACCTCAACACTGTTATGAATTGTGTTGGACTGTGAACTGTCATGTTTATCAAACTGTTTATAAATATTTATACTATAAAAATGTATTTATTTATTTATTTAGTTACTCATTTTAATATATGCACTTACTATGTATTACTTATTATAATATATATATACATATATATATATATATATATATATATATATATATATATATTTATTATATATTTGTACCTATTATATATTTATTATATTATATATGTATTAATTGGTATATTATTAAAATTCTGGAAATGGTATAATATAAGAATCCATAATTAATATTATATGTATTTGTCTTACCTGTAATTTTTTTTACTAATATTATTTAAATCATTTTGTTGGAGTGTCACAAACTTGTTACAGACTATACTTTAAACCCCCTTTGTAGATTAATTAGTCATGGCCTGGTGAACCCATAGTCTAGACAATAGATAATTAGCTAATCAGCAATTTTAATCCAACATCTAGGCGTAAATTAATTTATGACCCCATGTCTGTGCTACGATTTAGATGATTACCAACAAAATTTATTTGTACTGTTAATTCTAACGTATATTAAGATATTTTTTCGTATTTCATTTTTACGGTCTACTTCAGAGTAACGAAGTAGAAAACGAGACACAGTTGGCGACTCGGATAACGATTCATCATTTACAAATCGTGTTTCAATCATGTTTGACTTTGATGATAAATTTTACTCCCGTGCTCTTTTATTATTATAAAACAAAATCTTAATTGGATCTTAAATTAAATTAAAATAAATTGTATAACAAATTATTACGTAGTCACTGTTTTATTTAATCGGGGGATTCAGGAATCAGTCAGGCATTAATGAATACACACATCGGATGTATATAGATAGTTAAGGAAAAAACATTCCTAATATGCATTTGGTCACTGTGACGTCACTGGTGTCTGGGGGGATTAAGAGTGTTTTCGATAATTGGCAAAGTTATAGGGTTATAAACATACATTTTAGGTTTCATCTAAATCGGAAACAAATTATGACCTCTAGAGTGTCCACCTGCTAAAAACGTGAGTTTTCGTTCGATAAGGGGCCTTAATTCATGAAGTATCGATCCGATACATGCCAATATGGAAAGGACCGAGATCTTTTGGAGAAAAACCTATATTTCAAGTTTCGTCAAAATCGGATAAGAATTGTGACCTGTAGAGTGTCCACAACCTCGCGTGGGTATTCTTTTCGACCTCTCCCATTCTCTCTCTCCGGGTCCTCCGCTTTCCTTCTAGTTCTAAAGACATCTCTCTCTCGTCCGACCTCATTTTTTATAACATACATTCATAATATTATAGACGCACGCCGCTAAATATAGTGTCAATATAATCTGATGTGATAACGGTAGCCTCTGTTACCCACGCTAACAATACTCGTGGTAGTTGACATTCCCAGTTATGGTCTTGATGATAGAGGCTAATGTCGAAGGTCGTTTTTCTTCAATACCAAAATAAAAATAGTCCACAGTCCAAGAAAGATAAACTGTTCGAGACGATACCAGATATGCTTTTCTATGTAATTTAGACGCATATTATATTGACCTAACTGTTTGATTTTGTAGTTTTGTCCAGTTTCAACTTATATTTTATACAACCAGTGTAACAAACCGTTATTCAACATGGCTGAAAAGACAGACAAAGAAGTGTGTAGTATTTGTTTAAATGACTTTCAACAACCTGTAAAAACCGACTGTCAACATTCGTTCTGTTTCACCTGTTTAGAAGATTATGTGAACAAAACTTCCACCAAAGATCAGTTCCAATGCCCATTATGCCGTAGTTGTATAAATCTCAGTGACGGGGGTCTGGATAGATTTAGAACCATACTAATCAACGAGGACAATTCTACAATTAATATTCCACAATGTGATGTATGTATTGAAGAAACATGTCAATATTTCTGTCAAGACTGTGATCAATATTTATGTAAATCATGTAAATCCTTGCATGATAAGATGAAAATTTGTAAAGAACACGTTGTTTGTCAATATAATGAAACAGAAATCTATCGAGCGTTTACTTCTGACGAACCAATACAAGAAAAAGAAAAAACTTTACCGATATCTATGACAAATTCTAAAGATTTCTGTCAGCGACATGATGAAGAGACTGTTAAATTCTACTGTAAAGATTGTACCGTAGCCGTATGTTGGAGATGTTTCGTGGCCGATCATAATGGACATAAATTTTTGGATTTACAGGAAGATGAAGTCAGAAAAAATATCAGGCAGGACTTTAAGTCACTGAATGATGAATTAGAAAAACAAATCACTAATTTTCAGCAACATTATGATAATTTAAATATTAAGTTAATTGAAGTGAAAAACTGCACCAAAACTGAATGTGAGAAAGTAGATGCGCAGGTTGTGAAAATTTGCTCAGAATTTCATAAAATCGGAGAAGATGTTAAAAAGGAAATGAAGAAAAATGGGGAAAAGGAAGAATCCAAATTCAGGAAATTAATGGAGGACAGTAAAAGACTAACAGAAGAGTTAAAAGCAAGTGTTAAATATTCAGTGAACGTTTTAGAAGATTCGTCCATTGTTCAAGTTTTACAAAGATTACCTAAAGTTAGACAAGAAAAAGATGAAAGTAGCTGCAAAAAATTGGATATACCTGATGTAAGATATTCAACATTTCAAGAAGCAGACATAGATAAAACTCTGTTAACTAATCAACTTGGTAAAATTGTAAGCTGTCGTCAGAAAATGATTGGTAAAATTGTAAGTGGTCAGAAGAGTATGTTTGAAGAAATTCGTAATTTGGATACTGTGGGACATGGTTATGGGCATGATGGTAAACAACATGTAGTTTCAGGTTTTACATGGAGTATACGTTTACGTCGAGACTCATCATCGTCATTACATGTTAAATTATACCTTGATGATGTAGAAGATAAAAGTATTACGTCATGCAATGTTGACGTCATATATAAAGTTATAAATAAAACAGATGATAGAAAATCTGTGTTTAAAAAATATGACGGGACTCTCACACCTGGTGGCTGGTTATATTGTTATGATCTAATTGACTGGAAGAAACTCTGTAAGTATGCCAGGGGATTTACTGATGGTCATAGAAACTTTACAATCCAAGTAACAATTGATAAAATAAGTGGCATTACAAGACGTAAATAATTAGACTACTTTTATCTGATTAACAAAAATAATGGAACATATGGCTGAATTATTGTTAAATAATGTGTTCCTTGCGATGTAAGGGAGATAACCTTAATTCTCTTTGAAATGGAATATTTAACAGTCAATCGTTGTTTTGAAGACGTAGTTGATAGTTTTGTTCAGTGACTGTTTTTTTTGTAATTCCAGATGGAACTTCTGTATAGTATCATTCCATATTAGAATAATAAATGAAAACGTTTTGTATTGTTGTTTTATTATGAAGCACTGGTAACCAACAGATCGGGTTGTTGAGGACTGCTCTTATAACCATACCATCCTTCATTTTATCTGTTGAGGCCAATCAGTGAATACAACAACTTTTATCTAAAATCTTATGATGTCAACTCCATTATTGTAATATAGAATAAAATTGGCCCACGCAACAGCAGCTTATGAAAATTGAACACATGGATGTTAAACAAATTGGATAAGGATTCCTTTAAGAAATCTGAAAACAATCCGTTACAAACTGTAGCCCATATCGCATTTAGAAGGATTTCGTAAAAGGGGGTGGGGACTGGGGGTAACTGTAGAACGAAATGTTGTGTAAAGCTTAATTCCGATAGGCTTCGACCTACCAAGGCGGCTAAAGGTGTGTCTCTTTAAGATCCCTCTCTGATGTCTGTATCCCGACCTCTAAGCCGAGGCGGCTATACGCACGGCTAGAAACGCCAATGATGTCTGTATCCCAGCCTCTGTGTCGCGGAGGCTGTGAGTATGCCTTCTAAGAAGCCAACATAATGTCTGTATATACCTTGGCGTCTTAAAGGTGGCAAAAGCCACCCGCTTCTTGATAAATCTGCAGAGTGTTTCTAACCCGGACTCTAAGCCCAGTCGGCTATACGTCCGAAGCAAATTCAATTGTGCTCTTTAATTTATTTCAAAAATTTAGATACATCGGATATCAGGGCGGGCCATTGCCATATTTTGGTTAGGGTTTCATTTAGGCACCCTTTTATGTCAACCTAATTTTATTTAATTGGGCTAATCTGTGCACTAGATAGCTGGAAAACAGTAACCCACATCCAGAAGCGGATGGCGGCAGAACTGTCAGTAGGTTAGTCTAAGAAAGTTGTGAGAATAATATTCCTTTGAGAGATGCCACTTTCGATTCAGTTGGAAACACACTAACAGCCGATGAAAACATTGTTCATTTAGTAACGGAGCAGAACAGTTGGATGTTAAACAACTTTGAATACAAAGGATTAACATTCGCTCACAATGACGAAAAGCGGCTTTAAATTTAATTTTATAAAGAGAGGGAGATATATGGAGTTTGGCGTCAAATCAACACAAACTAGGTCATTTCGGGACTAAAATTTAATTTTAATGTTTATTATATATATTGTCAATAGATGAGCGACATAATTTGATCGTTTTCTCTTGGATTATATCGATTTCTGTCTTGTTTTATTGCCGTAAACATAACGTTCATGAGCATTCACAATATGTATAAAACATAGATTCAATAAGGTGAAGGGGGATGGACATATAGTATTTAATTCATATTTTATAAGATAATAATAATAATAATAATAATTACCTTTAAACATTAATGGCTGATATTGAGTTACGGACTTAGCTACTTTAAATAAAGATATCGACCTAAATTATTTAGGGTTTTGATATTGGTACTTTTTAATAGCAATGCCAATTTATACATTGAGGGTTTTAACCAATAGTATTTTACGATATACTTTTCTTTGATATACTTATAAGATGGACAAACTAACAGAGCATGGAACTCGTCTTCAATTTCATCACAGTTACAAAATTTACATATTCTATTACTTCTCTGAATATTGCTATACCTTCATTTCTCTATTTGTAAATCAGGAGCACAAATTGTGTATTTACATATCAATGTTTTATGTATTACATTTTTACAAAAGTAATATTGTCGTTCATAATTATTTTGTAGACAGTGATACAAAAATTGGTTCTCTTTCTGTTGAATTTTAATTAATGGGTGGATTGTATTACTTTAACTGGTTGTCCGTCTATTGAAGTTTAATTAGTAAGCGGGTTATATCGATTTAATTGGTTGTCCTTCTACTGAATTTTAATTAGTAAGTGGGCTAGTTTTGGGTTTTTGTAAAAATGTATAAACATTTTCTTGGCCCTCTGGTGACCACAATATTTGTCAGATTTAGATATAACTAAGTATATGTTCAGGGTCAACAATTATGGGCTCTAGAGCGGCGTTTCCCAACCTCTGGGTCGCGAGCACTTTTCGTGGGGTCGCCGACTAGTCTGAGAACTTTTAAAAAAATGTTATCTTTTCATGTAATCTATCTATACATCTTCAATAGAAGGTTTGATCTCGCTTTATCTCCGTACATCTTATCAAGGCCTTCACTTAACACTCTACAATCTACATTTTTCGTCACTAATTTCGATTGGCCAGCTCTAGACCTCTCAGATTCCTCGATAGAAAATATCATCGCGGCGAATACCAAGTCTCGCGCTTTCCAACTGAAATATCTACCTGTGATAATCGAGTTGCAAAGTTCAAGTTCGTTCAATGTCAAGGCTGCTGGAAATTTCCAAAACAAATAGACTTGCCGCTGCTAATTTTCGATTCCTTTTCCGTGAGTTTTTCAACTGAAAAAAAAACCTTTAACGGCTGTAAACTTATCTATTCATTGAACATCTTCAGTCACTGATCGATCAGTTCAAACACTACTTCCCCGAGCTCGACGTCCAGTCATTCACCGTGGTCCGAGACCCATACAGTGCACCATTAGACGCCATCACCGACTGTGATATCGCTCAAGAGGAGCTCGTGAGACTGCAGCAGGATTCCGGAGCTAAATCACTGTACAAGTCCTTGTCTAGTTACGGGGGATCACGTGGCTAAGTGGGTAAGACGCTGGCTCGCTAGCCTGGAGGTCGGGTGTTCGATCCCTGCATTGGCGAGAAAAGTTCATCCAGATTTTCCGGCGTGGTTTCCCCTTGTCAGTGATGCAGGACGGAGGGCCTGACAAGGAAAGCTGTCTTGTCGTTCGGATGGGACGAAAAACCGAGGTCCGGTGTACACATTGGCGTGCACGTAAAAGATCCCTTGGCAGTTGGAATTCGATATAGTAGGCCGTAGTGCCGATGTCCGGGCAAAATTTCCCTCATAGCACACTGTATGGCGTATGCCCGTCTTTATTAGCCCAAATCGGAGCAGAACAGTAGGACGTTAAACCCCATTTCATTTCATTTCATTTTAGTTGTCCAGTTACTGGTGCAAAATGCTTGAATCCTATCCACGTCTATCCAAGAATAGATCACGGCTCCTTATGCCGTACCCGTCGTCATACCTATGCGAACAGTCGTTTTCTACAATGGTTGTGATAAAAACAAAATTTAGGAACCGGCTTGAAATAGAAAGGGACATGATTGTCGCGCTGAGTGGCGTTAAGCCACGCATTGAAAACCTGGTCGCTGAAAAACAGGCGCGACCATCACACTGATTAAAAAAATCAATAATTTTTTATCAGACTTTTAATAAGTAAACAATAATAAAAGTGAATGATAATGATGTTTCATAGTAAAATGTGACTTTGTTCTTCGAGGGGTCGCGATCTGATCCTGGGTCTGGAATGGGTTCGCCACCCAAAAAAGGTTGGGAACCTATGCTCTAGAGGGTCTACAAACTTCGTACATAATTCACACTTTGTAAAAGGCAGGGACCACAACCCAATAAGTTGCGATCTTATGCGCACTAAAGTCGGATGTCCCAAGAACCTTTGATCCTTAACATATATGTTAAGTTTCATCTGAATCAGGCCCATGTTTATATAGGCAGGGCCATAACCCAAGAAGTTGCGGTCCGATACACGACAACATAAAAGACTATCTGGTATTAAAGCGATAACTTCATATTTTTAACATATATTTTTAAAATGTATTAAAATAAAGCCTTAAAATAGGTTGTATCCATAAACAGTCCTACCTTGTTAAAGAATAATCCTATTAATCTTATAATTCACTATTGCCAGTTGAGAAATTGGCAAAAATATCATTTTCAACTTCAAATTCCAACGATTGAAGATAGCTATTCCATGGGGGAGAATAGAAAAACAAGGGAGGTAATTGTGTGATTATTTCCGGGTGGAATGATTTTTATGTGTGAGAATGATTTTTATGATCGTATAATAGTGAGTTGACAACCTACTGAGCCAAAGACAGAAAAATTATGTTTTGACTTTCTTAGAAAATATGAAATTCTCGCTTTAAACGTAGACCATATTTTAACTTCTACTCAATACAAACTATGACATTTTGGGGACTTACATATGGTTCAGTTTTATTTCAATAATTCGCGGGCATGGGCAGGCCCAGAGAAAACCTACGAGGTTGTACAGGTGACCCTACTCCTTGTTACATACAAGTGGGGAATCGAAACCATGCCACTTGATTTAATGACATACCTTATGATACAACGCGCACGCGTTAACCATTCGGCCAACCAACCCCCTAACATTGGCGATAACAATGTACGAATGAAAATGTTGTTTAGATACAAGGGGGGGGGGATGGCTGAATGGTTAGCGTGCGCGCGCTGTATCATAAAGTCTGGCATTGAGTCGACTGGCGTGGTTTCAAATCCCCGGTTGTACGTGACAAGGAATAGGGTCGCCTGTCCAACCTCGTGGGTTTTCTCCGGGTCCTCCGGTTTCCTCCCACAGCTAAAGACCCCTACGCGCAAGCGAATTATTAAAATAAAATTAAAAACCATATGTTAGTCCCGAAATGACCTAGTTTGTGTCGAGTGGACGTTAAACCCCATTTCTCTCTCTCTCTCTCTGTGTTTAGATACAAATGCGCGCAATCGGTCCATGGGTGTTAAACGATTGTGAACTGTAGAGTGTCCACAAACAAATGTGGTGGCCAGTGGACACACAGACAGGATCGACGATATAATATGTCCATATAAAAACATACCGTGTTTTTCTGTTATACAAATT